CGGCACACAGGAAAAGTGTCTTCAATATCGGCGGGAGGGGGATCTCTGAGAGCGAACGACGGTAGTTGCTCCGATGATCACAGTCTCCCGCTCCCTTCCCGCCAATTCCGACTTTTATTGTAACATACAAGGAAAACACTGCCCCCGACATTTGCATACCGCACTCCCGGTCCGGCCCCTCGGTGGTGATTGGTTACCTGTTTTTTAAACTTGAACCACCAGTACGTTGGCGCCTTTTCTGTCTGGTCTACATCGAATTAACATGTTGCAGACTTTGCGGACGACAAATGTCGCCTGGGCGCGACGGGTGTTCTCAACTCGTCTTTTGTTGTTCAACCGCTGTTCCCAAATTATTCATTCCCCTTTTGTGACCGAGTTTCGCCCCCTCCCCTGTGATTGCCCACCTGCATTGACGTGCTAATTGTGGACTTCAACAGCCCTCCGGCCAGGTGGCCGGCGCCTTTGTGCACAGGCATTTGGAGGAGCTGGATACGCACCCAAACGGTTAGCTCTGTACAAAATGAAACTTTAAACATGATACAATTTTGCTCATAAATTCCTCTCACAAACACACTTCATTCGCAACAAAATTGAAATATAGGATTCCCAAAACAGCAGACACCAACAAGAACTCGAAAATATTTATTAACAAAAACCGCACCGCCGAAAAGAGACAACAGAAAACGCTGGTCAAAACGAGTACCAGGAAAACATGCAAAAACCCAGTAACAAAAAAACGCTCGCACTAAGGCAAGGGAGAAAAACAAACTCGAATACGAATTACACATGACGAAAAGACAACACCAAAAAGAGCCGATGAATCTAACTCGCGTACTAAGTCCAATACGAAAGGCAAAAAACCGACACACGGGCAAAGCAGTGGCACGGCAAGCAATTCTCCGGCAAGTGAGAGTCAGAATGACAGCCCTAATAAAGCAGGTGCTTAATGACAAATAGGTAGCAGGTCTGCAGCCGGCCAGAATGCACCGCCTGCCACCTGCTGTCGAAAACGGGACATGACA